CACATGTCATTTTTAATCATTATCCTTTTAGAGATTTATTATCTAAAATATTCACTACTCGGAAACTTACTTGACGTTATTATTTTCAACTGAATATTTCTGTTCTATTCTTAAGCCTAAATGTCGAATTCCATGACAAACACGAAAAATTGATAAAACTAAAAAAAGAATTACAGTTGAAGATGTACAATATAGACGTAAATGAAGTGATGTAAGATTTGAAGATATTGAAGTATAATTTGATATATCTAAATAATCATAACAATATCCAAGTATTATTGAATGAAGAGAAGATGATTTGTGCATTAACATCATGCGAGTTAAATCACATTTATCTTTTCCATTTAAATTAAAATATGGATCAAGAAGACTAAATCTAACAAGTCTATTTAAACTTTGAATTTGTTTAAAAACATTTTCAAATTTTGTTGATGAATTAATTGAAGTAAATATACATGATTGAAGATTAATAAAATTATGTCGATTAAATAATAAATTAATAACAGATGAATAATCAAGAATTATATCATGAATTTCTAATGAAATAACTTGATGAGCATGAAAAGTAAGATAATAAGAAAGAAAATCAATTTGACGACGACAATAATTATGTGGAATAATAATACGAAATGGAATAGATTGCAAAATAGATGAAATTCGTTGATTCAATGAAGTAAAACCAGTCAAAATATCAAGTGCATGTAAATAATCAAATATTTCGAAAAAAATTTCATTCGATAAATCTTCTAAATGAGTATGTATACTCATTTTTTTTGTAGAAATAATGATAATAATCACACGATTTAGTTTAATCTTGTCGAAAGAATAAATGAAATGAGAGAACAACTGTTAAAGAATATCTTTTATACTCTATCATAACGGAGTCTATGAACAATATTGACGAGAAGATAAAAAGAAAAATGAAGATGACGGTCAATTTATTTTTTATATATGAAAGAAAGACATTGATAAAAAGGTATATTGACGATATCAATCCATCTAATTATTATCTAGAATGATATTTTCTATCACAGATGTAATCTTAAAAAAGGAGAAGAGAGAAAGAGACAAAAATAATTCAGTAAATTTCTTTACACAGAAAAATTTTGAAGCAAGATTATAAATGGTAACAGTGATGCAGAACGTGATCTGGTAATACAAAGGATGACGAGAAAAATTCATAGTTTAAATAAACTTGTTATATTTACTCTTCTTGAAGCATATTTTAATATAAATGTGATTTAATTCCAATGATGTTTATGAACAAATCATCTTCTCTTCGTTCAATGATACTTCAACATTGTTATGATTATTTAGATATATCAAATTATACTTCAATGTCTTCAAATATCTTACATCACTTCATTTACGTATACATGGTACATATTCAACTGTATCTGTTTATTTAATATTATTAATTTTTTTGTCTTTGTCATATAATATCATATTTAGACATAGCAACAGAAAACTAAGATTTGGTTAAAATAATTAATGTAAATTAAGTTTTCAAGTAGTGATTATATCAAATGAAAAATTTTTAAAAGGAAAACTATTAAGAATAAAAATAAAATGATTGTTTTTTTT